GGGGGGGGGGAGGAGCGCGGGGTTGGTCGAAGGTTAGAGATCCGCTTGCGAGTGCACCAAGACGTGAACTGTAAAATTTACCTTCCATGTGCTCTATCAGTAGCACGACATTTTTTGGGAGTGTCGTATCGGTTGGAGCGCTTTGCCGTACGTGATGGTAGATAGGGGGTGAATGTATGTGTGTGTGTGAGTGTGTATGATGTGAAAGAACAAAACGCTTGGGCGGGTGCGACGGACCGGGCGGGGAGGTGGTCATGCTGCGCGCTTCCTGTTCGACCTCTTTTCCACCCCCGTGCCACCCTTTCACCTCGCACCCCCTCTATACCCCGCCTCTCCCCCCGACCGGCCCCCAGCCACCCTTACGTGCGGCCAGTTGAGTCGATTGATTGCCCGACGACGGAGTGGCCAATTTGGAAGTACTGCCCGTCCCGTCGCTGGCTGGCCCTCCCCCGCCCGCTCCATCAGACCAACCCTCCTCTCTCTTCTCCTCTCTCTCTATCTCGCGCAACTCGACCATCAGCTGTGAGCAGAGAGGAGAGGAGGGGGTTGGCGGGGCGGCTCATCGCCAGGTGTCTAGAGTTCCCAGCAGCCGAGGCAGTGACACCCCTCCCCCCACCCCTCCCCTCCGTTACACAAGCTGGTGATCGATACGGTCCACCTCATTACGAGCTGTGCCTCCAGGCCAGGTGGGGGAGGTGGTTGTGTCCCCCCCAGTGGCGCGGCGGGGCGGGGCGGTTGGGCGAACCTATCCCCCTATCCCCATGGAAAGGTTCGACGACATCAGCTGTTATGTGTTGTACTCATTCGTACCCCGTTCAGTATGTACTCGTCGTACTTACCCTGTAACCGGCTCGCGACTCATGAAAACGATGTGAAATGGAATTAGCGACAAAGAAAGTACAGAGGGTTGGTGGTGGTGTTGGCGACGATGCGCCACCGACCGCCGCGGCCGAGGGGAGACAAAAGCGAAGGGTTGTCTTGTTGTCGCGGTGCCATCCCGCGCGCACACGTGCGGTAACTGAGACCCCGCGAGGTGGGCAGGGCAGGGGGAGAAGAGCGCCCAGGAACGTGGCGGACACGCGAAGCACGCCAAGCCACGGGAGGAAGGGTGCCGGGCAGGGTCGATAGTAAAGGCTTTTGTTTTGACCAAGGTCAGCAACTATCCGTTTTTTTTTCACCGCCAGGTTTGTTTTTTGGCTAACTGAAAAAAAAAACACAC